CACACCAGCAGCTGCATGTGGAGGAGTGGGGAATCAAACCCGATTCTCCCAGATTAGAGTCTGCGCTCCCAACCACTACACCAAACTGGCAGAGTATGGAATGCCAGTAAAAATGATACAGCTCACAGAAGGAACAAAATGTGGACTTCTAAAACACCGGCCACGTAAACGTTCATGTTCAAAGCTCGTCATTTGGCTGTCCTGATGTTTCGTTTATGCTTTCCACGGACTGCAGAAAGACAAATCAGTGGGTTTTCGATCCAATCCCTCAACTCTCCCTAGAAGCTAGAATGACCAAACTAAAGCTATCATACTTGGGTCACCTTCAGTGTTCCCTCTAAGCTGAGTTAGTGTGAGCTAGCTCACAGTTTTTGAGCCTCCAGCTCACACAATTTTGTCTTAGCTCAGGAAGGGTGGCTCCAGAGCAGACTGATTTATTCAGTAGCCAAATTGTTTGCTCACAACTTTAACGCCAGTAGCTCACAAAGTAGAATTTTTGCTCACAAGTCTCCACAGCTTAGAGGGAACATTGGTCACCTTATGAGAGAAGACAAGACTCACTGGAAATGACAATAACGCTAGAAGTTGAAGGCAGCAGGAAAAGAGGAAGGCCCCAACATGAGATTTATTTATTTATTTATGTGAGATTTATCTCCTGCCCTACCAGTTTGGTGCCAGTTTGGAGTAGTGGTTAAGTGCACGGACTCTAATCTGGGAGAACCGGGTTTGATTCCCCACTCCTCCACATGCAGCTCCTGGTGTGACCCTGGGTCAGTCACAAGTTCTCTCAGAGCTGTTCTCTCAAGGGCAGTTCTCTGGAGAGCCATCAGTCCCGCCTCCCTCACAGGGTGTCTGTTGTGGGGAGAGGAAGGGAAAGGAGATTGTAAGATGCTCTGAGACTCCTTTGGGTCGTGAAGGGCGGGATATAAATCCAATCTCCTCCTCTTCTTCTCTTCTTCTACCCCGCAGATGCGCTCAGAGCAGCTTACACCATGTCAAACTGTCAAACAGTTTCATATTAATAATTAAAACATAATTCCAACAGAGTTAAGATTTAAACAACTGGTTTTAAATACCCAACTGGCAGCTTGGCACTTAGTTACATTTCGGTGTGCATTCAGTTCATGCCAGGGAAAGGCGGTGGATCATTCTGGTGGAATAGCTCACCCATTCCTGGTGCTAATTAGTATAGGCTCCTCTGCATTTGCTGTGTAATGCAGTCTCGGTCTGCTGTGGCATCGTTGTATATGGTTCCCCTTTGCATCCCATTTTGGCTTGGCATGAAAGCAAGCCGTCTGCATCAGACCTCACCATGGCAACTGTGGGGGTGTGGGAGGGTAAGGGTGAGAGAGAGGGGGGAGGCCTCCTGGAGCGCCAGCTGGGCACTGCACTGTGGGGAGGAAATGGCATCTGCGACCTCAGGGCTATTTTGGGGCAGGAACGCACAGGAACGGAGTTCTGGCTGGCTCCCGAGTTGGCCACGCCCAGCAGGAACTCATTAGCATAACAGGCCACACCCAACAGCAGAAACTCATTAGGATTGGCTACATTAGGGGTGTGTGGCCTAACATGCAAAGGAGTTCCTGCTACAAAAAAAGCCCTGGGTTTTGACAACAGACAAGGTAAACAGAATAACAAGCGAAAGGCGGGTGTGGCTGGATGACCACACCTCTGGTAACAT